GAAGGATGGGTCTGGAGATCATTCACAATGTACACACGGGAGGAAGTGCCCAGTATGTCCCGATGCTGAGAATCACAAGTGATCCCCTTGAAGCAGGGAGCCAAGGTGGAAGGGACAGTGGCGCTGGGGCCTTGGGAGGAGACAAGATCCAAGAAGGAAGCTTCCAGCAATGTCAGTGGCCAGATCAGAGCGGGAAAGTGCCCGCTGGACCGGGTGAGCTGCTATCACTGGCAAATTTGGCCCGAGGGACTCATTCGGTTTAATGCACAGGAGCACAAAGTAATGCGTCTTACTTGGGTCTAACTTAGGTCAATGTTAATATTCAAGCTGAATGAAACAAACTTCTAAAAACCTAACAAGGGAAAGACTCTGACTTACCTATACACACAGGTCCAGAGTCATCCGACTGAATTCACACACTCCCTGGGCCAGGTGGTTTTTCCTTCCTTCCTTCCTTCTTTCCTTCCTCCCTCCCTCCCTCCCTCCATCCCTCCTTTCCTTCCTCTTCCCTCCCTTCCTTCCTCTTCCCTCCCTTCCTTCCTCCTCCCTCCCTTCCTTCCTCTCTCCTTCCCATCCTTCCTTCCTTATCTCTCTCTCTCTTTCCTTTTCTTTTTCTTTTCTCTCTTTCTCTGTTTCCTTCTTTCTTTCCCTCCTTTTTTCCCTGATAAAGCTTGGTTTTTCTGTAATGTTATGTGATAACACACAGGTGAGAGGTTCTAGTTCCTACCCATGCCAGGCTTCACCAGATTGAGAACGGACCACTCTACCCCCATGAAAATGATGTTTGCAGATCTTTTTTAATAAAAAGAAAAATATAATGCTTCACGGTTCAGGGGGAAACAAGATGAACATTAACTTGTTTTTACTACAGGATCTTAACTATGTAACAGGTGCGCTTAAAAAAAAGGAGAGGGACGCCTGGTTGTCTCAGTTGGTTAAACTTCCAACTTCGGCTCAGGTCATGATCTCATGGTTGGTGGGTTCAAGCCCTGTGTTGGGCTCTATGCCAAGAGCTCGAGCCTGGAGTCCACTTGGAGATTCTGTGTCTTCTTCTCTCTCACTGTCCCTTCCCCCTTCTCTCTCTCTCTCATAAATAAATGAATGTTAAAATTTTTTTTTAAAAAAAGAAGAGTAGAGGGACCCCTTGGCTGGCCTGGTTGGCTGAGCATCTAACTCTTGATTTCGGCTCAGGTCATGATTCCAGTTCATGGCATTGAGCCCCACGTTGGGCTCTGCACTGAATATGGAGCCTGCTTGAGATCTCTCTCTCTCTTTCTCTCCCTCTCCCTCTCCCTCTCCCCCTCTGCCACTCTCCCCCATCTCTCTTAAGAATAAATGAAGGGGAGAATAGGGGGGAATGAACGGTTGCCTTCAGTTAGTCTCTGCAGTATTTGTATTTTTCCAATTACTTTTTGATACATTCAAATTTTCCTACAAAGAGCATGCATTACTTTTAAGATCAGAAAATACAGTAAGGCTGGAAAAAAATGGTTTAATTAAACTTGAACAGAAGGTAAGCAGGGGCACTAGTATTAATGTTTGATAAACTAAATTCAAGGCAAGGAAAAAAAATGTATGTTTTTAAGATAAAGGGAGCGTTACATAATGGTGACAGCAATGAGGCCACACAGACACGAATCTACAGCTACCAAAGACACTGACAACAAGATACAGAAATCAAACATTATTAGGAGCATGGGAAGGAAAAGTCGTAGGAGGAGATTTTAAAACACCATCATCAGAAAGCCTTAAGAAAATAAACTCGTAGTCTATCTAAATACACAAAATTGATGCTTGGCAGGAGTTCAATTCCATGATGACAGTATGTGTGTGTGTGTGTGTGGGGGGGGTCTTTTCAAGTGTATATAGAACATTTATAAAACTCAATAATACCAGTCACAAAGAAAATCTCAATAGAGAAAAGAAATCTTAAGTCCCTCTTCCAGCTAAAGAGAAGGCACTTCCGGCCTAGAGAAAATACAGAAGCTAGCATGAAGGACAGAAAAGGGGGAAACAGAGTTAACAGAGTCTCCTCTGGTCCCCTGGGTATTTGCAGGGGGCGGGGGAGAGAGAGGAGGAGGAATGGGAATTAACTTTATGGTCAGACTGGATCACATCTCTCTCCCGCCCTTTTTCTCACTCACTGAACAGCTTTATTTAAATATGAACCCCTGAAATGGTACTTAACTCAGTGGTTCTCGATGTGGCATCCCCGCATCGGCAGAATCAGCACCGTCGGGGAATTTGTTAACAACTGCAAATTCTCAGCCCTACTCCAGACCTCCTGAAGCTGACCTTCCCTTGGGGTGGGGCTCCAGGAGGTTCTGAGGGGCGAGCTGAAGAAGGTGAATAAATACCCCGGTTCCCTCACCCCGGAGCAGGCTGAGTCAGAGGAGGAGTGGGCTTTACACAGGCTCCCGGGGTCCCTCCAGTGGGGCTAGGCTGCATTGCCCACAGGGGCCACCTGCACATCACTGCCTTCCTGTCCTACTTCCTTGAGCCCCGAGAGGTGTTCTTCCCCGTCACGAGTCAACTAGCACATGCAGATCTTTGTCTCAGGGTCTGCCCCTGGGGGAGCCCAAACTAAGATGCCTACCAGAGGCCAGAGCTTCCGTTCTGGCTGAGACCAGCTTGGACTTCCACTTGTCTCCGGCTTCTCTCAGGGGAGGGAGGCCCCTGGCAGTGAGTCCTCACCCTGGTGCCATCCAGCACCCGCTCCCCTCTCCGGGTTTGCCAGCTCTTCTCTGCCCCCCCGCCCGCCAGGAGGCCATTAGCCCCCCACTGGCCCTTTGCAAGCCTCCTTCATGGTCGCGTCGCTCACCCCCAGGCTGGGCGAGACTCACGGAGGGTCGGGTGCCAGAGAGGCCCCGCAGAACCATGTCCTACCTGGCACCCGGGGAGGCCAGTTGTGCGAGACTGGGAGGTATCACTGCTACGGGCTCCAGTAGGTTAATGTGTGTGGAGGGAGCACACGGCAAGGGCCGCAGGACGGCCACAAAGGAGTCTCTGAGGGGACACTAGAGGACGCCTGGGGAACAAGTGGGTGGGGCTTAGCCAGCAAGTGGAGGGCAGTGGGATCAGGGATGCACAAGGTCCCCGGCGGGCACACGGCGTGCCGTGAGGGGCTCCAGAAGCCACGTCACGGGGACAGACTTCGCCAGACGGCTCAGAGCCTCAGAGGAACCGAACACGCCCCGTTCTCACAGGAGGCCCATCCTTGTCGGTTTTAGAAGAATCTACAGATAACGCAATGGTTGGAGGTAAAAAAAGAAAGATAAGGATGTGAAAAACACAGCCAACGACCCCTCGGTCCTCAGACTCTCAAGGCCACGGAGAAGGTGGTGCCCAGGCTGGCATATTGCTGGGCCCGGGGACCCTGGGGCCCTTCAGGGGCACAGCCAGCCAGTTCTGAAGGGGCAGGGGGCCTTTGGTGCCTGGGCTGGTGACATGGGACAGGCTCACCCACAGCTCCTGGAGCTAATCAGGTGTCACACTGCACCTGTGGCACTGTCCCAGCTCCTGGTCCCCCTCTCCTAACCTGGGAACACACACGGGCTGGTAATCTTTCTCCTTCTCTGCCCGGCACGTCGAGAGCAAGGGCTTTAGAGCCTGCCTGTGGCTCAGACGATAAGCCTCCTTGGCCTTCAGCATGCACCCTGGCTGGCCCCCTCTCCCAGCATCGGCCGGTGGGGGTCTCTCCCCGTGGCCAGCGTGTGCATATCGTAGGCCAGGAGCCAACACCTGACCCATCCACTGCCACTTCGACACCAGGCCTTCTGCAGACCTGACTCCAAGGACCTCAGAGGATTTTTGTTTTTGCTGCTCAATACCGGCTTGTTGTATATATTTTAACTGAGCCATCCATCTAAAGAGAGGGGAATTCCGAAACCCCGTACACACCGCTCCTTCCTACCTACAGTCATTCTGGGCACAGCGGCCCGGAGAGGACTTCAGACGCAAGGTGAGTGGTGGGTTCCCATCCCAGGGCAGGATTTCACTTTCTTATTTTTTCTTTAAGTTTATGTATTTATTTTGAGAGAGACAGAGACAGCTCAGATGGGGAAAGGGCAGAGAGAGAGGGAGAGAGAGAGAAATCCCAAGCACATTCCTTCCTACCTGCACAGAGCCAGACATGGGCTCGAACATAAGATCATGACCTGAGCCAAAACCAAGATTCGGATGCTTAACCGACTGAGCCACCCAGGTGCCCCCAGAATTTCACTTTTTATTTTACCTCTTGGGGAAGGATCATGCCCGGAGGTGGGGCTGGGGGCCGGGGAGCATGGAGGAACCCGGCCGGCCATTCCTGGTCATCTACTTTAGGTAATATGAGGAAGGGAAAATGAATCCAGATATGTGGTCAGTAACTTATTCTTTTTTTTTTTTTTTATCGTTTATTAATTTTTGATAGAGAGAGAGAACAGCAGGGTAGGGTCGGGGAGCGGGGGGGCAGAAGATCTGAAGTGGGCGCCACACTGACAGCAGAGAGCCAGCCCAATGCGGGGCTCGAACCATGAGATCATGACTTGAGCTGAAGGTGGATGCCCCACCAGTAATTTATTCTTTTTTTCTTAATGTTTATTTATTTTGAGGGAGGGAGAGAGAGAGAGAGAGAGAGAGCAAGCTGGGGAGGGACAGAGAGAGAGAGGGGCAGAGAGAATCCCCAGCAGGCTCTGCACTGGGAGTATGGAGCCTGACATGGGGCTCGATTCCACAAACCGTGATCATGACCCGAGCTGAAATCAAGAGTTGGATGCTTAACCCACTGAGCCCCCCAGGCGCCCTGCCCAGTAATTCATTCTTAAAAGCCCTACGGGACACAAGGTCTAATGGACCAGTGTTCGTTCGTCCAGATGTTTTTCTCTCTGTGGCTGTGCCCCATGGACAGGAGACAGACAGGTGGGCTCAGGCTACAACGCAAGCGGCATTTCCCCCTTGCTGACGTGGTGCGCCCCCGTGTTCCTCGCCAAAACGCTCGTGCAGCTTGGTGGCCCCCATACCTTCGTCACTGTTGTCATCCACCAGGATGATCTCCTTCAGCAGGTGTGTCGGCGTGTGGTTGACAGCGCTGTGGACTGACCTCAGGATCACAGACAGGGCCTCGTTGACGAAGATGAATATGATGGAGATCTGGGGCAGCTCCTTGGAGTACTTCAGCTCCTTGCACCTGGGGGAGAGAGCCAGCGGAGCAGGGTCAGAGGAGGGCGGAGGGCACGGGCACTGCGGACGGACACGGCCCACGTCCGCCCAAGGTCCCCTCTTGGCCCGTCTTGGCGAAGAACAAAGACTAGATCCAGCCCCAATTCTCCCAAATCTGCCACTCAGTCGTGGGCTCATATCTAGCATATCCCAGGCCGCCTGCGTGCCCATAGACACCGCCTGGGCCCACTTCGGCGCCCACCTGCCCACCCGCTTTGCTGCCACCCCACCCCCATCCACCCCCATCCAGAGACGCCCAGAACTTGATGGATCAATACCCCAGCCCCCTCGCCCCAGGAGCAGGTTGACTTCGAGGAGGGCGGTTTACACTGACTCCTGGAGCCCCTCTGGTGAAATTAAGCTCTGTCACCCACAGTGGCTATTCGCTGACCACACCCGTTGGGAGCTGCCTTCCCTTTGGGCCCTACTTCCTCACGCCCCTAGGGGTGTTCTCTCCACCTTCCAAATCAATGATGTACTCAACTCTTTGTCTGCTTCTGGGGGAACCTAGACTAACACATCTACTGGAGACCCCGCTCGGGTAGAGCGCATGTTCTAGAATACGACGTAAAATGCACATGCAAATAATCACATTCCAGGAAGTAGAGCCTCTGCCTGCATAGGCGTGTGCTGCCTGATACACCCCGACTCTCCTTGCAAGCGTTCCTAGAATCTCCTTGGGGACCGGAGGTGGGACCACCTGCCTACGAGGCCCTCCCTCCTAGGACCCAGCAGGTCCCCCATCCCTGAAAATTGGAATAAAAGAAGAGTCCTTTTCACCCAGGCTGGACACAGGGGTGTCGAGCTCTGGCCTCCCTGGAGCTCCCGGGGATGCGAGTTTCACACCCAGGGAATGTGCTCTGTGTGGCTCCATTATGGGAGCACCACATTCTGTCTGGGGGAGCACTCCCACAAATCAGGGTCTCTGCTTAGGCTGAGCTGCACTGGAAAGACGGAGCGGAAACCAAGCAGCATGGGAGAAGGCGCGAAGGCTTTTCAATTCGTTCTCCTCCTCCTCGTGTCAGACTGAACAATATATAGCACATGTGTTGGAGGAGAAAACAAAGGAAACGGGATGAAGAAATGGAGTTGGGGGGAAGCACTGGAGGAAGAGCAAGAAAAACGGCTGTTTTTTATGCGCAACAGCTTGGGCTGTGTCGGGCCATATTCATCATGCAGGCAATTTTCGGAAGAAAATAAAGCTTTGTTACAATATACATTCGCGTCCCCTGGAGAAGACCGATCCATTGATCACACAGCCTCATTTTTACCATGTCGCTGTAAATTCACTTCTGGGGCGGCCAGGGAGATTAGAATGGTTATTGACAGGCTCCCGGGCGGTCGGCGGGAATCATCTCATTTACTGCATGGTGATCTGAGGGGGGAGGGCACCCCAGAAGGTCCTTCCAAGACCATCCTGAGCCTGGAATGCTGGCGGCTTACTCACCAGCCCATACCCGAGAGGACACATGTCCTACACACCCACTTATTTGAGCACTCAGCCCTAGGGCTGGTGTCTTTGGTCCTTTGTTTTTAACAGCCTCTGGCCCTTGGAACTGAGAAGCAAAAAGACCAGATTGCATGGCACCAGCACATTCTTCTCTGCCCACAGACAAAGGGGTCATGATGCTATCAAGACTGAGTTCTGAGTCAAGCCTCTTGGCTGGAGCAGGCAACTCCTGCCTCCAGGGTAACATGGGAAACGTGGGAGCCTCAAAACCCCCATCCTGCCCCTTCAAATGGGCCAAGGTGGCCATTTGTAAACCATGGTGGAGGCGGGGGACAGGGATTTCAAAAATGAGAAAGCGCTCCATCACACACCGGGCATGTCACCCTGAGCACACTGTTCATATTTCTTCATCTCTAAGACTGTCAGAATAATCCGCACCACACCTCGCTGTGGGTCCCTGCCCAAGATCCTCATAAGGGTTGTCTGAGAGCCCTGTGAAAATGCAACGTACCAACTAATTCAATGACCCAGTCTGCCTGGCTGTCCCCCACCCCCACTCCCGTCGCCCCCTTTGGCTCCTCCGTTCATTTCTATATGTTCCCTGTCGCATGGGCCACGCTTCGAGAGTTTTCACACAGCCCAGACCCTCCTTGCAGGACCCACCCAGGAGTCTCCTCCCCGGCCTGGCCGACCCGGGTCTCTATCTTTGTCCAGTGCACAATTCACCTCTCCCACGCCCGATGTGCTCAGGCTTTCACAATGGGCGGAAAAGGTGAAGACACTTATTATTACAAAAACCAGCGTTCTGGGGCGCCTGGGTGGCTGAGTCTATTAAGCATCCGACTTCGGCTCAGCTCATGATCTCCCAGTTTGTGAGTTCAAGCCCCACGTTGGGCTCTGTGCTGATGGCTCAGAGCCTGGAGCCTGCTTCAGATTCTGTGTCTCGCTCTCTCTCTGCCCTTCACCCCATGCTGTCTCTCTAGCTCTCAAAAAGAAAAAGTAAAATTATCCAGACTTTAAGACAGCTTTCCTGCCGACCATCTTCTTTCAGACAAGAGACTGTTTACTGCTCACTGACCCATTTCTGAGAGGAAGCCTGTGATTTCTAGGACCCGGATCCAAGCCTCTGTTGTTAAAATGAGCACACAGTACCCCCGCTGTGGATTCTGAAGTGCCTGGCAGCATCTGTGGCCCATCGCCCAGGCTCTGCTCGTTCCTGGGTGTGTTGCAGATCCCGAATTTATTCTTTTATCGTCCTCAACCTCTGAGGCTTCTTTCACCTGGATTTTGCAGCCTGGAAGGCAGTCGGGGTGCCAGGAACCACATCGGGCCCTGTGTGTTCCACTATATAGAGATGGGGGGGGGGGTGGAAGCCACGCCCTGAGCCCACCATCTCCTTCCCTGAATCCACCTGCCCACCTGCCTGCTCACCCCCAGAGCACCGTGCCCGCCACCGGGGCACTGGGCGCTCAGCACCCTCCGCCCCTCAATTCTGCGGGGACCCGGGGACAACTGGGAGGGCTCCCTTCACATCGGCCCGCATGCAGAGTGGGACACCCGGCATGTGCGGTTTGGAACACCTGTCTGTGAGTCATCAGGCCTCAGTGGGAATTCGGTATCAACCCGCTGGGGTAGGAGCCATATCGGGTCTTTCTCTCTGTATTTTGATGGCCAGTGAGCCTCTTTCTTTGCACCAACCACCCTTCATCTTCCTTCCTGCGCTCATCTTCTGCCCTGGCTGGTACCAGGGGTGTGATTGTAAGTGGCACGTGTATCAGTCAGCACCTAGTCCTCAGTGCTTAAAAGCCGCAGTGTCCATCTCCCCAGCGTCTTCTGCACATCTTCTACGTATCAGGCAATAAGCTAGGCTGAGATTGTTTTCTGAAGCCCAGTCTTCCTCCCTAGACATTAAAGGCCAAGGAAAGGAGCGCCTGGGTGGCTCAGTCGGTGAAGGGTCCAACTCCGTAACTCCGTAACTCTTTGGTTATGCTCCAGTCATGATCTCACGGTTCCTGGGTTTGAGCCCCGCGTCAGACTCTGTAGTAACAGTGCGGAGCCTGCTTGGGATCCTCTCTCTCCCCCACTCTCTCTTTGCCCCTCCCCCCTCAAAATAAATAAATAAGCTTAAAAAAAAAAGACCAAGGAAAGAACGCTGGTTTTTAACTTTGTTTTGAATGTTTATTTATTTTTTGTAGGAGAGAGAGACAGAGCATGAGCAGGGGAGGAGCAGAGAGAGAGAGGGAGACACAGAACCCGAAGCAACTAAGCTACCCAAGAACCCACTAAAGTCTGGATAATTTTCAATCAACACTTAAGGCCCCAAAGAGGCTACAAAGCAATTCAAGCCCAGCCCTCTGGTAGGGGCGTTACAAGAAGAAGTCTCTGGAAAGCTGATCTCACAGAGAAGAGAAAGCAGAGACAAATAACCAACCGCGTGAGATCTCTCAGACACCTTACATCCATCCTTCTGTATGTCCATTTCTCCATATGCCTGGGATACTTTCTTGAACTTGGTGGCTCCTGGAGGGTAACCATCTCCCCTTCTCTAAGTGCCCTCACACCATGGCCTTTGGCATTGACTTCATTTAGCACCAAAAGTATCCACGGCCTCCTTTCGTTGATGCTGAGCGAGGAGAGGAGAGCTGGGGGAAAGTGGCCATCTCAGAACCCACCAGATCACAGCTGACATGAAAGAAGGTCAAGGGCCAGGCCTCCAAGCAGGAAATAAAGCCCAAAGAGCTGCCCATGCCAGGACCTCCTTTTAAGGACAACTTCCATGACCCCAATGCGGTACGCAGATCAGAGGCACTGAGTGACACTTAGGACCCAGTCTGCTACCTTGGCAACAAAATGACCCTGAAACAGCCCCGATGCTGTAAAAGAATTTAGATGCAATGCGGGCCAGGAGAGTTCAGGATGTTCCGGATGATGACAATGATGTTAACCAACCTTTATACAGTGCAGGCTGTGAGCCAGAAGCTTCTGGAAGCTTCTAGGTACTATTCTGTCTCATCCAACTCTCATGGTAACCTTATGAGGTAGGCAGTATTATCATCCCCATTTCCCAGATGAGGAAACTGGGGACCCAGAGAGGTGAAGTCGCTTCCCCTTGAGTCACACAAGCAGCCTGAAAATAGCAGTAAGGGTGCCCGGAAGTGAACATTATCATCAGATGTCTAGACTCTTCCAAGTGCCTCTGCCTGACCAGCAGACAAACCTCCACACAATTTCTAGCCCAGCTTCTTCCTTGTTGGGAGACCTTGGCTCAGTGGATTAATCTGTCTGAGCCTCAGTCAGCTTCCTTTGCGCGGCCCTAAAAGCCCTGACCAGGACACAGCCATCTGCAGACAGACAGAGCACCGGCCCGGAGACTTCCCGTCTGGTAGGATGCCTGCAGACAGAAGCCAGCCCCACCTGCTTGGAGGTTAACAAGGCTGGTGGGGACACAGGCAGAGCTCCTAGTGTCGTGGCTGTGACTCAGGGCAGGGGCCCCCCAGGGGGTTTACAGAAGCCCCTTA